AGATGGAGACATTGGTCAATTCAAATAGACGGTAAAACTTTCCCTGCTGAAAACAGCTGTGGGAAGCAAGTGTGCAGTGGCCCTGCTGTAAGGACCTTTGTGCCCTTCCATACAAGTGGTGAGAGAACCAAATTTTGAGGGACCTTGTGATCTGGACAATGTTACTAGTCTCTGCTAACTAGGGTACCAGCAAAGCTGAGGAACAACAGCTTTAGTCTCAGCACTGGGCCCTGGCTCGAGCTTCTCAGATAAGCAAGGCTGCGGTGAACGCAGCTCTTGCCTTTCCTGTCCCAACCACGTATTTGTTTTTGCAGGTAACAGACTAATAGAAAACACTTGTGTTAGCAGTGTAGCTGCACAACCTTTTACCTTTCTGGTGGTCATTTTTAAGTTCCCCAAATCTTGGGATGATGCCATTAAATGACTGACAATGAAGCCTCCCAGAGAAGATGAGACCTCATTGTTAAACATAAAAAAGGCAAAGAAATCATCTTGACACTCCATGTTTTTCAGTCCTACGTGATACAAGCAAACATGTCTTTTGCCTTTCATAGCTCAAAAAAATCCTCTTTTCAAGCTATATAAGTTTTCCCTCCAGAGCTCTTGACAGCCACATTCCCATAGCTCATGACAAACTGCTGAGCACTCCCTCTGTGGCACGTGGGGATAAGCGAATGATCCCACCGAAGCCTGGCATATCTCTCAGTGGCAGCCACACGCAAACTTTCCATAACTTTATCTTTGACCTGGTAAGGATTCGATATTTTTGTCATAAAGCATTGGTTTTTCCTTTGTAGGATCTTGATCGTGGTCCCAAATGGAAAGCATGAGGTACACTGTTTTGGGATAGATCTGGTCATCAGTAAGTGCCGGCTCAAAAGCCCTGGCAAGCAACCCTGAGCAACAGAAATGCACTGACGGTCGAGTGTTACCACCTGCTGTAGACCAAGGGGACTGAAGATAGCAGACCCAGAATTGATGCCACTGAAAATGCTGCCTTAGTAAATAAGTAACATCTGCCCTGGCCCTTCACATTTACAAAATAATTTACAAACTTTAATTAATCACCACAGCATTTGTGTTATGTTGTAGTAAATACTATTCATAGGTAGCAGTAAATATTTTTCATCCATTCATATGGATGTCAAGCCTGCAGCTGAGAGATTAAATAAGCCAAGTAAAGCCACATAGTATGTCCATGCCTGTCCAAGCACGGCTCAGAGTTCACTCATTGCCATTTGAGAGCCCAGCACTAGTGGGTTGTGTGTGGTATCACATCCTGAAGCATGCTCACCATCACTGCTCAGTGACCTCGCCAAGTGTCTGTGCTGGCACCGAGGAAGAAGGAAGAGCCTGAGACAGTAACCGGCTGCGACCCAGAGGCTCACCTAGGGCATCTCCTGACCAGCGCCTGGGGGCACACGTCTCCTCTTCCCGGGCAGGTTAGAGACTGTACTGGGTTGGAGTTTACTCTCCTCATAGCAGCTCGTCTTGTGCTGTGTTTTAGATTTGCCACCAAAACAATACTAATAACACACTAATATTTTAGTTATTCCTGAAAAGTGCTTGCACGGCATCCAAGCCTTCTCTGCTTCTCACTCTACCCGCCTAGTGAATAGGCTGGGGGTGCACGAGAGGTTGGGAGGGGACATAACCAGGCAGATGACTCGAACTAACCAAAGAGATATTCCATGCCATATAATGTCATGCTCAGCAATAAAATGGAGAGGAGGAGGCTTAGGGAGATTAGGCATCTTTTGCTTGGGAACTGGCTGGGCATAGGTCTACCTTTTTCAGGACAAATCTTGAGAAGTTAAAGACCTGGAGGCAGTTTCTCCACTGCTGCACATCAGCGTAGCTTAACATATTTACAGCAGGTGAAGATTGGGTTCATCTGTTTTATACTGGCCCGAGAAAGATGCTTTTGTTAAGAAGTTTTTGGAATTGCTGACAGGAACCCCTATGCACTTATGATTCAGACTTCAGGCATCACTTTCTGGTTCCTCCAGCTCTTGCAGAAGGAATCTTCCCAGGACAGGTTTCGCCTCTTGTTTAGGTGGCTTCCTCTGGCTTACAGGGGAACCCAGAAAGAATTCCTCTTATTATGTAGATATCACACCCTAGACTCAGTCTCACTGTACACCTTAAATGAAGAAGGTAGAAATGCACGTTATTGCCTCTACGCTTGAGGATGAGTCTCTGAGCAGTACGTCACACAAATGTGGTCACAACTGCTTCACCTTATCTCACATTTAACCTTTCTGATATGTCAGGATTCTTTTCTCCCCTAAACATGTATTTCCTTTAAGTGACATTATCACCCTTAAACCCATTTACACTTATTTAAAAGCCCATAGCTTTGAAAGTCAAGACACTTGAACTCAGGGCTTTCTTGACTTTTTCCCTTGATCTGCCACAGGAGGAGGTACCAATGATCAGAGACAAACATGGGCCAGGTAGTGCCCATTTCCCTGCCCAAGAGAGAACATGCTAAAAAAGATTTTTCATTTTCGTCACATCTTATATGTGTGTCTCTCCTACTGTCTCCAAAAGTAACCATGAAAACTGTCATCAGGGGCTGGCTGCTTGAAGGCAAGGGTTGTCCTCCTGATAGCAAATAAGAGTTGATGGGTAAAATGTGAATCATCATGAAGAGTTTGAATGAAGAGAGGAAGCATCACTTCAATGAGATAGAGAAGGTGAAATGATGAAGATGTGTAAAGAGAAGGGTGATACAGAAATGTGAGGGATTAAGAAACTCTTTGCAAGTAGCATCATGGATGGATGCAAGTGAGGTAAGTTTGCACACATCAATTTCAGCTTTACCATCACTCAGCGGAATAGTTGCATTTGCATACTTACTCCTCGAAGGCAGGGAAATGAGAGGGAGAACAGAGTGATGGGTAGGGCCATGCTCAGAGCTGACATTGTATCACTAAGCATGCCTCAGATCACTGCACTTATGGGTAAGGTTAGGTATTGTGTCTTCCACTGAATTCAGCAAGTTATAGGTCAGGATCCTTAGATTTGGATCAGGGGATTTGTGTTTTGTCCAGCCCAATACATTTTTCATACTATTAGGTGCAAAAGAAATAGATCACTGGTCAATATCCTGAGCTTTCATTTATTGACAATGCATTAAACTTGACACTTTCTTCCTCATCATGCTGTGATAAATCCTCCATTAAAACTAGTCTTGTCTTGCAACACTTACGAAATGCAGACAAAATAAGACTTACCTTCCCATCTGCTTTTTCTGTGCCACTTTGGATATTTGTGACTACTTCACGACCTCAAGGGTGTTACTTCTGACTGCTTGTCTGTCACTGACACTCACCTTCTCCACTAACCCAGTTTACCCATGTTGGATAGCGTCTTGCACAATTCTTTTCCAACTCAGACTTACACGAAACTGAATTGACTTGGGTTATTACATCACAGACACAGTCATGAGGCCTATGAAAGCTGTTGCCTAGACAAAATTTTGGCAGGATTGAAGGCTTCTCCTTCTAAAGAAAAAGATATCATATGAAGTCTTGATTGGTTTTCAAAACCTTTGTTTGTGGCTTGCTGACTGAGCAGTCCTCTTGACTTAAGTGGAATTATGCATGCATGTGAAGTCATCCCAGTGTGGTGACTAGAAAACACGGATCTTCCTGGTTTCTGGCTAGCACATGCTACTGGTTAGTAAACAATACTAATGTTTAAGTTATTGAAATGGAAGGAATGGCTGTACAATCAGTCAAGCAGCACTTGCAGAGGAAGGAAACATACAGTGTTTATTTATTTATCCATCACTCATTGTCTGGTGAGCATAGCAAAGTGCTGCAATTGTTTTTATTAGCAAATCTGGCTTTTAGACTAATTTGTAGATAAAGAAAAAAATTATATAATTATAGACTGCTTGAATGGGGTTTATCAGGGACTTTAAAGAATCCTAATTCAAAAGCTCTCAACTTCTATTTTGTGTTGGATCTCCATTTAAGAAACTCTTGAAGCTTGATTTCAGTGGAGTTGCATCTTAAAAATGTATACATTCTGGCATCAGCTAGTGCCTTTAGTACTCTTCAGTGTCCCCCATTATCAAATATTTGCATAAAATCAAAGTAAGTTTCTAGCTTCCTGACAGATGTCAGTAAATAGCTCTGCATAATTTGCAAACTACTGTTCATGAGGAAATGTTCCAAAAACCTTATTGTGGTCTTTTATTCAGTAATGATTTATATATCATTTTATTATATACTTTGACTTGATCCCCAAAGACATCAAGGAATACTGTCTTCCTTCACCCAGTCTGATAAAAAATAAGCAAGGATGATGAACATTAAAAAGGGAAAGGGAAAGGAAAAGAAATGTAAGAAAACAGGACTGTCTATATTCAGAGATCAATTGCTGCACAACTTAATGTTCAAGACGATTGCAAGAATTTGTTTAAATTAAATAGTGAAATAGACCATCCCCAGTAGTGGACAACCCAGTCACCCTTCTTCAATTGCTTTCTGATTTGGAGTTCATAAAAATACAGCAAGAATTCATGCTAATTTTTCAATTTGTAAAATTTCTTTGTGTACAATGAGGCTAGATTTCAACTGCGTTTTCTTTTCACGAGTGAGTTGGTCCCTTCTTTGAAACAGCATACCAGTACTTCCTTTTTGGAAGGACTGCCTGTGTCTGAGGCATATAAGTTTGTGTAAATTTAATCAACACCACAGTAAAATCACTTGCTGTCTAATTACATGTTTTATTCCCTTAAACTATCTCTTGTGAAACACCCAAATCATAACATGTAGAAAATCAAAAGATATGTAATTGTTTTATTCTGCTACATATCATTCAGTACCTTATGATATTTTCTGGTAGTTTTAGTGGTTTAGAGAGTTGCTGGGTTTTTTAAGAGATCTCTGTAAGTATGACAATATGCAGGACATTTTCCTTGGCTTATGTCTTCTTCGGTAGAGCTTTTTCTCTTCTTTCCCTCTTTCAAACAGAGGGAACCAGACTTAACTAAGTTCAGCAGAATTGATCCTTCCTTGATCTTGGTTGCCACCTTTGACTAATACCAAATAATTTAAGCCCTCTTGATTCCTTGTTTCCATTAGCATGGCTGAAAGAATACTGTCCGAATCTGCACATGGAACATCACTATCTGCATTAAAAAAAAAAAAAGACAACAGCCCAGTGATATACATGTAGTATTAGAAAGCAAATAAAATCAGACAGCTGTTGGAGAAAGTTGATCTAGTGGCTGCATAAAGAGTGACTGATGATTCAAATTTATTTTCTGCTATTGCCTGTGTGGATTATAACTTCAAGCAAATCACCTAGGGAAGGTTGGTTATCACCATTCATACCTCCCCAGGCAGCAATACAGTTATGAATACATGACTTTCTCTTTTTGGTAGCAAATATAGCCTGCATAAAGCCAAAGTGATTTTAATCTGTACCTTTGTGTAACTCTGCTAATAACACCGCTAAAGAATCCTGTAACATAGGCAGTGTTCTACCTACTAAATCATTATATACTGTCTCTCTAAAGGACTTGCAATATTCTGTCTTTCTAGAAGCTTGAACTTGGCAATCCAGTGTGTTTTTCCCATTTCTAAAAACGTCTTTTTTTTTTTCCCTAATTTGATGCTGTTCAAATATACGGAGTTACCTGAAATCTATTGCAGGTGATACATATTTTAAAAAATGTAAAAATGATTACCTAAAGGCTCAAGTTATAATTGTTCCCATTTTTTGCATTTATTTTTGTAACATGTACCTTCTTTTACTATACTCCCTCCATATTTTACTTCACAACTGGAAAATTAGGCACGTGACGTTCGGGGTTATCTGTTCAAAATAATCACAAGCATTGTGCGGCTGCACCAGGCAACATTCAATTTATTATGTCACTATAATCACACCACCCCCCCACAAGCTATAAAGTCAGAAGTCTGTTCCGCATGCTAGAGTCCATTAGGAAAGATTATCAGGAAAAGTCTGAAGGAGAATTTTTCATTTTAGAAACCTGTTAGCAAGATGGGGATTGGGACATAGAGCAAACTGTGGTCACATACCACAGTGACTGACAGCTATAAAAAATCATTTGATACTCACTTTGTCAGTGCAGGACTATTATGGCAATATTTAGTAATTCAATCCCAACTAAGCCTTTACCAACCAGAACAGCTCTTCTTTGTATTTGGTTTTTGTTTAATAAAGCTTTTAATGGGAACCCTCAGGGGCAAGTTACTTTGGAAAAGACACACTAGCAAATGCTGAGGGCATGTTTGCAGCAAACTCTTAAGAGAGAAACCTTAAAATAAGGACCCAAGTAAAACTGGGTATTTACAGACCAGACATATGCCGGCTGACCTGCCTAAGTATAGAACACTAGAGGAGCATTCAGATTTGTTTCCTGTATAAGTATCTGGAACTGATGAGGTGATGTTTACACAAATGTGAGTATGAGGTCACTGAGATATTTTTACCAGATATATAGATACATTACTAATTCTTTCCCCAACAGGTCTGAAAAACTACAGAATATATAAAATATTATAATCCTTTTTCAGCCCATGCCCCGCTGCATTTCTCATTATACAGAGAAAGAGCTAAAAAAATCAAACACCTTGCCTTGGTTTTACTTTTTGAGCTTTGGGGACGAAATAAGCAAGAAAGATTATTTTTGCAGAATATTCTTACCCTATACAAAGGCAGAGGAAGAATACAATGTTGATGTCCTTTCTCCTCTGACATGACACATATAAGCTACATTGCCACTTTCACAATGAGAGTTTTGACTACAAGTGCCCTTTCCTTCACTGTTGTATCATCTCTTAGCACAGTGTTCCGTGCCTATGAAAGCTTAGCACCATTCTGCTGTACAAGCCAAAAAAACTATATACAAAGATGTCAAGTTACGTAGTATAATGCTTGCCTCTCATGTAAGTCAGCAGAGCAAGCAAATAATTTTTGCTTGCTTAGTTATACGGTGGATGGAGATAGAAGATACTTAAAATGAGCAATTGAGGAAAAAAATTGTTAGATGTTGTGAAATTCCTCCAGAAATGTGAGAGCTAGAAGCACCACCAACACCCTGGCAAGCCATAAGCCAATGCAGAGAATTCTGACTAATCTTTGGAAGCCCATTCCAAAAAATATCAAGAATTTGAAGGAAGATAGAAAGAAGCTGGAGTGGGGAGGCAGGTCAGTATATTCATGAGATATCATTCTTTTTTTTTTCAGTTTTAACATTGCTAAAATTAGTTGATTGATGTATAGTCATGCTGGGTTATACGTGAGTAAATGCAGGATAAACCATGTGATGTGATCCCCTCAGATTTCACAAGCAAAGCCTGACTGAGCCAACAAAACACCCCGAGAGGAGGCGTCCAAGGAACACCTTCATGGAATCTGAAGTCGTGCTGGGGAGTCAACTCCAAACGCTTAAATCCTGAGGGGTTGTCTACGCTGTGGACTGCTGCATAGTGTAGAGTTACCCACATTTGCTTTAAACAACCTACCTCAGGGCATGAGGCAAGCTAGCTCTGGCAGTCCAAACCTTTGTACAGGCTGAGAAGTACTCTGCCGAGAAGCAGGTTCCCACTGAGCTCTGTGCTCTCTCAGGTAGACTGCTTCCAATCACTAAAACGGCATGTTCAAAGCTCAGCGCTGGTCTTGCGTACATACCTGTCTCAGGTCCCAGATGCTTGTAGCTTTGACCTTGCTGGACGCTTTTCCTAGTAGTGGTGTGCTTAAAGCACAACATCTGAGCCAAACTGCAGGTAAATTAATTACAACGCACCCCTCCAGGGGTAGGCAGAAGCTTACTCTGGAGAGCCCCGCATTAATTGACACAAGAAACTGTGATCGCCTGACTCATACTAATGAGCAATGGAGTTTGCTTGCTTAGCCTCCTCTGAGGAGACTGGTCCTAACCTGATAAAATCTGTGCTTCCCCCTTCCCAGTCTCAGCATCTCAGTCGGCTGCTTCCTGCCGCAGGGCAGCTGCGGTGCCGAGCTGGGTCACGTATCCTGCCTCGCGATCACAGAGTGTCTTTCCTTGCCTGCTCCGTAGGCTGCGTGGGCTCACAACATGTTTTGAAGTCCTGCCTGGAAGGGTGCAAATTTTTATGATGTCTTGATAAGCAAGTGGTTTTTTTGGGTGTTTAAGTTCAGAAGGTGACAACATATAAGTCAGTAGAAAAGCTGATTGGTAGAGACTGAACAAACTGGTCTAGAGATACCGATCTTCTATTACAGCTATTTCAGGGCCAGATCCTCAGCAAGTGCAAATTAACAAAGCTCCATAGAAACCAGTGGGATGCCACTGATTTACACCAGCTAAGTAGCCAGCCTGAGACATTACTAATTCTGGGTAACACAATCCCATACGATGCTTAGCACCTTCAGTATGGTAAGGTATTTAGAAATGCAGCCACGTTTACTTTTCCCCACTAATATCCTCTTGCTTTTCTCATACATAACTCTGCCCTTTGCCCCTGCCACACAATGTACGTGGTAGTAAACAAGAGACTGGCTGACTTGCTGGCATGGCTGAAAGATGTACCCCACAGCGAACACATTCAAAAGAAGCGCTTGATGACATATCTTTGTTAAGGGTGAAAAAGGTGGCTGTTGAACCCTGACTTCTCCACCTCAGCTATGTTGGTTAGCTCAAGGAGATAGCTCCTGTGTAGGGAGTATTTTCCTGATACCTGCTGGCCACCTGGAGCTGGAGGTGCTGTGTTTCAGTTTCTTCACATTGACAGTAAGAATATAAATAGAACAAATATATATCCGTTTTAATACTCCACTCTGTATTATATATCAGTGGAGATATATCTGTGTTTCCTGTCTAATGAAGCATATGATCTTGCATGGTTTGAAGGTGACTCACCAAGCTTTGCTATTCTGTCAGATACTAAAGGTGCTAAAAGTGAGAATTTTGCTCATCCTGCATTTCCACTGCACTGAACTGCTTGAACCATTGACTGCCTGCCTGTCTTCTTATTTTAATAGATCTTTCAGAGATCTGTGGACTGAAACCTCTGTCTACAAGAAGATGGCTTGGGAAATACAGATATAAACTTGTTTATTATATTGTTTATTATCATTTATAATACAAGAGCACTAAAAGAGGTCAGTTCCACATTTGCTGCAATGCAATAAGGCTATATAAATAGGAAAGCACCCTCCTTCTCCAGGACACAAAGGAGGATTCATTTTAATAAGTTTTAATCCCCCAGATCTTACATGTCCAGTTCAAGCTCCTTGCCTAGGCTTCCTTACCAGTCAATGGAGAGGGAAAGGAGGAGTGAGCCCCTTTGTGGAGATGGTTATTTCACATCCTTACCTTTACACAATAACAGCCCCTGAATGTGTCTACAGCTCTCTGGTGACTGTCAAACAGCCTAGACAGCCAGCATAAATGTAGTGCCTAAATTTTAGTTGCTTATATCTATACACCCATACTACATAAATATGAACTCTTATAACATCATATCATCTGATTTTTTTTTTTCTCAGTCCAAGGCAAAATACTAGCATGACTTTCCTTGCGGTATCATATGGCTCGTGTGCTCTCTGGAATCAAACAGCATTTGTCTAGGGGACAAATAAGAAACGATCACACCACCAAGTCCCCCTTTTCCTGCAGCATTGTAACCACTCACTGTTTTGGAAGAAGCCTTTTCTCTGACCTCCGCTGGCTTTGGGTCAGCCACTCACTAAGCTAAGTGGGGAAGAGGATTACTGAATTTCAGAAAAATACAAAGGAGACTAGATACAAGGTTTTAAAAATGTCTCTTATCAACACATCTGCTTTAGAGAAGCTTCCGTTTGTCCAAGTGATTACTTTAAGTTCAGGGAGGTGTGCAGAATTGTTTTTAAAAGGCAGCTGGTTTTAGGAAAATAAACTGATGACTCTTACACAGGGAACAGTAAACCAGTACTACTCAGCCAGCAGAGAGGGCAGACATATAATTAATGGTGAAATCACTGATTCCGGATTTTAATATCAAATCCCTTCATTACAAAGTTTTGTACTGAGCTTTAAAAAAAAAAGTGACATTTTTAACAAGTGCCTTAATTGCTGAAAAAAGTAAATACACTGAGTCAGTAGCTTTGGAAAGAAAAGCAAAACAAGAAAACATTACA